CGGCTTTATCACCTTCACGATTTAAATGTAGTTTTGATCTGTTTAATAAAGGTTTGTCTATGCAACTATTATCAATAAAAGTAATCTTATGTTTAGAACATAAACCATGAACTAAATTATTATATTGCTCAATTTTTTTATTGTTTAGCTTACCATCATACCGCTTGATTGTACCTGAAACTGCAATTTTCTCGGTGTGGACCTTGACTTTGTTGATGAGGTTTTCCAGGTTGGCTGCTACCTTCTTCGGTTCGTCACGTACCAGGTCATTTGTGCCAACATGGATGATGACGGTGCTGAACTCTTGCTCTGATTGGTGGTTTCCAAATTTCTCGGTAAGCTAGTTCACTGTGGCTCCACTGGAGCCACAGTGAACCAGCTTACCTTGTATGAGTGTGAGATAGCTTTACTTCGAGCAGCTCTTCCAATTTTGCATGCATCAATATTCTTGACCATGGAATCTTCTATCACCAAGACTGTTTTCTCATGGTTGGACTTCTTGACTTTATTTGGTGCACTGCCAGCTGCAGCCTTTGATTTTGAACTTGTGCTTTTAGAAGAATCAGAACTGATTAAGGGATCTATTGTCTGACCAATTTTTCTTTTTGCGACTTTGCTGGCAATTAATTCTTCCACGTCAGGCACGTCTTCTACTTCAAGCACTGCATAGTTGTTACTTATTAATGTTCTTGTGTCTGTGCCGGTAGATGATGTCGTTTTGGTTTGTTTCTTTGACTTCGTTTCTTTGACCTCTGTCCACTCACTTTGTTTCATGTCGAGAACACACTTTATGCTCTTATTTTCGCAACTAAGTTCAGTGACAGTCGATTTTAATGAGTCAATTTCGGCCACCATTTTAATGTTTTGTTCCGACAAGGCCGATATTGTATTTTCACATTTTGTTAATACTGATATGTTTTGCTGAGAATCTTCTTGCTGTTTCGTGTTTATTTCAGCTAGCAATGTCAATATGTTCGCAATCTGGTGTTCATAATGCGAACAATTTTCACATACAGGCGATACAGCTGAAGCAGGGAGATTTGTATCGCTTTGTTGCGAGTTTTGTTGTTGTGACTCAATGGCGTCGGCCACGTGCTTTGTCGTTTCTTGTTGATTTTCAACGCCTTTCGTTTGAGCACATGTCTCCAGTGTGCTTTGTAGAGAATTTTCTTCGTTATCTTTCATGATAACCAATTTTTCTTTCTTTTTGCCAAACCATTTCAAGGTAAATTTGGCGCATTTGAACATTTTTTCCTCCTCGCGAGGCGACGACCATTTTCCATCTTTACATTTCAGATGCTTGATTATGCCGTCTACGAAGACTTTTAGAGTAGGTAGATCGCCTTTCCACGCGAAATTGCCTTCACTGTTAAATAAAAAAGCTGATGTTGCTATATTCTTTTCGATTTTGTCGTTTTTACAATCAGAATTTGTGATAGACACGGAGCCCGAGCTTTGAGTACCTTCCGCCATCTTGCTCCGCGTATGTAGGCCATAAATTTTCCACACTGGTCGGGAAATGCTTTCTTTGAGGCCTCAATAAGCAAGTAAGGGCCTGTTCATATGAGCCCGGTTAACCGGGCTGGCCCGCTTTTCCGGCCTGGCCCGCTTTGCTTTCACATGAGGCGGGCTAGCCCGGCAATCATATCTATTCATAGTAACGATTTCCCGCGAAATTTTAGCGGGAAAGTAATATTCGTGTTTATTCAGTAAATTTGTATTTTAGTCGATGGCAACAGCTTCAGGAGGTTTAATTTTGATAAATTCCTATAGTTTTGAACTTTTTAGACTGTTTATAAGCGAAATAAAGCACGCAAATTTCCAGCCCGGCTTGCCGGGCTAGCCCGGTTGTGCATTCATATCAAGCCCGGTAAGCCGGGATCTCGCCTCGCTCAAGCGAGATCCCGGCAAACCGGGCTGGCCCGCTTCTCATATGAACCGAATCTTAAATTAATATAAAAACAAAATGTGAGGCGGGATCTCGGCACTCGAAAACCAGCCCGGTTAACCGGGCTATCCCGGCAGTGCCGGGCTCATATGAACAGGCCCTTATAAGTTTGCAAGTTTAAATTATTCACCCTCATTTGGTTTGTAAATAAGCCGAACATTTGCTAGTTTTCAGCAAATTCTCGATTCGTTTATTTATATAAAATTTGTGTGGCATATCTTGATGAACCATTGCCATTGAGAGTCAGTGAAGTTTTATTATGTTTGATGTCCCTATAATTCTGTAATTTTTCTACAACATGATAATTTATTAATATAATTTTGTCGACTTTTACTTCAAGCTTTCGTAGTAATTTGACTAATTTCTCACATTTAAAACGCTCTCGGCGCCAGCGGTCGCCATATTTCATTGCGTAAAATACAAAGTGCGTCACGTGCATAGATCACGCGTGCCGAGAAAATTGATACTGTGCGTGCGCACAGCTAAATGGCAAATGTCCATTCAAATAGGCTCATGTTTTGGTATGATAGACCTGCAGCAACGAGCACCTAAATTACGAAACATCCTAAGGGTTAAGCCTGAAATACCCCTTCGTTGCTGGCCAATAAGCTCCTAAGTTCATTATTTATTTCGTGTTCAACCTCTGCTGATTCCGCTGTTTCTGGCCGATGAAATTGGACAACTGACTAGGCAGGAGCGGGGTATTCAAAGTCATATTCCCCACTCAAGCGCGGTATTCGAGTCGAAAAGACCCACTGTACGAGATGCCCACGACATGGTATTTCCTGAAGATAATATGGTCATGTGATGGAAAACAACTTCTCTGATTGCACAATCTTATTGCGAGGGGTAATATATGTTGGAACAATGTTTTTCTTGGACATTATTATTTACTTATAATTGTGTAAACGAGAAAATTAAACAAGTCGTAACTTCTTCGTGCAATAAATATGACAGTTTCTTAAAATGCTACATCAAATTATGGAATATCTTTAAGACCTAGAAAAAATGGGTTAATTTCTGTGTTCATTTTCGCTTTTGGCCTGGTATCCAGTTACTTGACTATGGCTTTAATTTACCTGGTTTAACTGGCCATCCTCTTCTTCACCATCTAAGGTAAACAAAATAATTATGTGAATCAGGAAATTTCTGGACCGAAAAATCGTTTGAAATTACAGCTCTATTGGATGCAATTGCAGTAAACCTTATCTGAGCATGCGCATGATATCTGCATGAACGGGACAACTGAAACACACCACTATACTCAGAATTTGCAATACTGATCTTTTTCTCCTGTAGATCATATCAAAGGCAGCCCGACTATGGGCTATTTAACACCAGGTCTGTCATATTTAGCAAATTTTCCCCCACTCGTGTGGGTTCATATTGTCAGCGGACATCCCTCCAAAAATGGCAGCTCTGTGTAAAACGCAAGGCTTCTAATTTTTCATCGGAGGTTCGCTGAAAATATAAACCTGCTGCGCTGGGAGAAAACGTCCTAGATATTACTAGTGTGCATATAAAAATATCATCAGAACAAGCATATATACATACTTCAAACAGTCATTAATAATTCACAAGCTTATTGGTAAATCATGTCAACCGTAATATGTCACGTGCAGTGGCTTAAAAACCTGATAAAACACTCCTAATTAGTATTCTTTATATAAAGAATACTAATAACTAAGGCAGTAAATCTATTGAATTTGTAGTCGTGTTTGAAGCTTTTTAATAAACTGGCAGGTCGTACGTGTTTTAAAATTAGGTCTAAAACCACTCGGGCTGCGCGCTCGTGACTTTAAACCTAATAAAACACTCCTGCTTGTTTATTAAACAGTACATAATCTCCATATGGTTGTATCAAAGCAATCAGTGTTGAAAATGCTTGATGGAAAAAGAACAATCGAGGGAAAAGCGAGGGGAGAGGAAATGGTTGAAACTCCGGACCGTTGCTGTTCAATTTCCAAAACTATATATATATATATATATATATATATATATATATATATATATATATATACAGTCAATTCAAAAAAGGTTGACTTTCGAAGTTATGTATTTATGTACATTGAGCGCGCAAAGAACTTTGGGACTTTTCATGTAAATGAAATGCCGGCCCCATACAGCCAAGATCGATAAGCTGGAGATCAATTTTCTTAGCCGAAATATTAGATCTTGAATTACCCGCAAATATTACAGTCAACAATAAAACGTTATGTAAAAAAGTTCAGAGAAATAGGAAATGTCAATACAGCTATATCATCGGCCGGCCATACAATTGCATATCAATGCATCCTCACGAAGAGCTAGTTGTGATCATGAAGATGGTGCAGCAATATGTAATACGTAATTAAATAAACTTTCCATAATAATTTTGAATAATCAATGCAGCGGTTAAGAGGCGTTAACACGCAAACAAACTATATAAAACGCAAAAACAAACTACAACAAGTTTTCATCATAGAATTTTGCGTATTTATTTATATCGCTGGTGATCTGATGGTGATAAAATAAATGCAAAAAATTTTCTTCAGCGCAAGACAATGATCTATTAAACATTTTTTCTCTGCATAAATTATTAAAACAATCAAATAGCCATGAATGAATAAAAGTTAAAAGAAAATTACTATAGAGTGTATAAACCTTAAAACCTTTGAAATTGAATAGAACAGGTTAATCCCATGAGGTAACATTGCTTTTTCTTCTTTATACCAAACGCTTTGCTATAAGATTTACATACCTGTCTTCATCACACTCTGACAAGCATGGAAAAGCAAGCTACAATTCATGTTATCCTGAAAATTGTGTGTAAGAGTATAACCGAACAAAATATAGCACGTACAGTCGGCAAAATGTGCCAATGTTTGATAGTTTGAATGAGATGAAGGAGTATTTGCTAGAAAACGTCGCCGTGGAATTGTCCCCAGCTGATAATGAGCATTCATTCAAGCTCGGCTATATTGCTGGCAGAAACAGACGTATAGTTATGGCGAACGATAGCAACCTAGTTGAAGCGTATTCTATGGCTAAAGACGGTTGGGTAACGTTTTGGGCAGAAGCTGCAGACTCTCCAGCGGCTAAATACAATTCCAAGGGCACCAAGAGAGCTCGCTCAGATGCAAGTGACGACGATGATGATGATGGTAAACACACGTGTTTCATTTGAAAAATGTGTTTATAACGTTTCCTAAATACTTTTGTGCATTAATCTTTGTGTGTGTAGCACCAACTTCATCTTCAGCAGCCAACATGGGGAGCATAATACAGCTATTAAAACAGAAACATGGAGGCGATTATACTGAATTTAAACTTAAAGTTTGGGCTAAAATGTTGGTAAGTGCAGTATATGTTAAGTGCATACAATGAATATACAGGTTGACATAGAAGGTTGACATGGACAATATAGTCAAATTTTATGATTTCGTCAAAGAAAGACGCAAAAATCACAGATTTAAAATATGTTTAACACGCTCCCACAATTTGAACAATTTTTCGGTAACCTGCAAACGATGCAATATTGATCTGTCAAACATATTGAAAATTATAATTTTTGCATCATTCTTTCACCGCTCATAGTGTAGTTATTGTAGCTATTTGACTATTATCGATGTCATGACCTTAATTGAAATAGCGCTGCAATTATTTGACGTTCTTGTAAACTAGAACTGAAATGGAAAGCAATCACCATCATTTTGTTTACAAAGTTTCTGTTATATATTGTTTGAAGAGCAACGGTACTCACAGCAGCTATGATATGCCTTCAAAAATCCCGTTTTTTACTGGATTAAAAGCGGGTCAAGAACGAAACAAGTCATCTATATCGACCCCTGCAGTGAGGGCAATCACAACAGCGCTAGCTACAACATCAACAACAACTGAAGCCATAACAACAACAGTGTCAATGCCTCAATCGATGGAATCAAAAGTATGTCACTGCTATTTTTGGTAATATTATTTTTGAAAATGTATTTCTGAAGAACATTGTAAGAAGGCTTTTTTCCAGTGGTAAAGCTATATAGCCATGGCAAACAAGCATGATGTATAGTAAGCTAGAAACCGGACCCATAAAAGACGTGTTCTGAAATTTAGGCCCGTTTCATACGCCGTACTTCACATGTGCCGAATACATTAAAGACAATAGATAATGAGCTGAAATGTCTCATTACCTATTGTTTTTAATGTATTCGGCACATGTGAAGTACGGCGTATGAAACGGGCCTTAGACCATGCAAATATCTAGACTGATCTCAACAACGCAATTAAATAATCGCATTGCATGTAGCATGACAAAAGGCTATTAATTGGTAGCTTTGTGAATAGGTTTATTCAAATCACTTGTATAACGGGAAGAAATTTGAATTGCATTTATAGGCACGACTCCGTTCAATGATAATTCGACAATTGAAAGACTTGAAAGACCTGGAAGAGACTGGAGTTTTAGATGCAGAGGAATTTCAAGCACAAAAGAAAAAGCTTGCAAATGAATTGTTGAGTTTGTAAAATAATAAAACAATTGTACAAATCATGTTTACATGTAGCCAGCATGATGTATGTAGTTTCTTATTTCTTCATCTGTGCACTGGAGAAATGATTCCCACACCATCAATTCTGGATCGGGGCAATTTTGCCAAGCGATGTCGTTTTCACGAATGTAGCTTTTGGTCTGTGCAAATAGCTCTTCACAAGGCATGAAATCCGGCGAATAAGCTGGCAAGAATATTAACAATGCCCCAGTGGCATTAATAGCATCAATAACTTCTTGTGTGTGATGTATTGCAGCGTTATCTGAATGAATAAAAAAGTTAGTTACCTTTGAAAAATTTAAATTTTACACAGTACTCAGTATAAGCAAAAACGTAATTTACAGTACCAAGTATGACAATGGAACGTGGATTAAAACCATTAAACGGCAGCAGGCATGGCGCAAGGATATTGTTGACAAAGGCAAGGAATGTTTCGCCGTCTACGTGTCCTCGATAAACACCAACATCTAGAAGGCCTTCCATACATATCACTAGAATTGCCGTTATGCGCGGACCCCAGTGTGTATGCCGGCGATATATTTTTGCAGGGTGTCCACACAAATTGTAGCCGTATGTTCGCATGATTCGCTTATCCTGTGGAAATATTTAAGAATAATTAAGGAAATGAATTGTATACTAAGACAGCATAAAAAATGCAAATGTCGTTAAACTTACAAAGCCACTTTCGTCTAAAAAAACGAATATTTCTGGGGGGGAGTAAACATGTTGAAGCACGAAATTCTGCTCTTGCATCTTCAGATCTCTGTTGTGCAATTTTGGTAAGCTGTAATTAAAAGTCGGATTGTACGATGCTGTTAGTTTGCAGGTATTTCCGTGGGATTCATTTTAAAAATAATATTGAGTTATGCCTTGCCCCCTTGCATATTTACCAACCTTCTTTCGAGTTATGCCATTCCTCTTCAAATAATAGTGCAGAGTCGAGCACGCATATTGGGATCCTGTTTCCTCGTAGACTTTGTCCAGTATTTCGGCAATGGTTTTTTCAGGATATTGCTGCACCATCTCCATGATCACAAGTTCTTCGTGAGGATGCATCGATATGCAATTGTATGGCCGGCCGATGATAGCCGTATTGACATTTCCTATTTCTCTGAACTTTCTTACATAACGTTTTATTGTTGACTGTGATATTTGCAGGTAAAAACTTACTTGTTCTATTTCAAGATCTAATATTTCGGCTAAGAAAATTGCCCTCCAGCGTAGATCTTGGCTGTATGGGGCCGGCATTGCAACAAAATAATTTTATGCCGTTCACTTACATGTAAATTCCCAAAGTTCTTTGCGCGCTCAATGTTCAATGTACATAAATACATAACTTCGAAAGTCAACCTTTTTTGAATTGACTGTATATATATATATATATATATATATATATATATATACCCGATTCTGACATTGTTATATATTTTATCACGTTTTTTATGTTTACAAAGAAGTAGTGATAAATTTGAGAAATAGGTAAGTATTTAACGATATTCCTGCTCATATATTGGCTACATTGAGTGGTGTGTTCCACAAGTTGCGTGGACATGACTTTTATTCAAAATATTACTGCGATTGGAAATTTCAGAGACGTAAGTGTACTTACTCAAACGACTTATTTTAAAATGCAAAAGACTGTTATTGTTATGAATATTTCTAAACGGTGGTCGGTTTGCCTTCCGATTGCTTCTGTTGACAAACAGTCGACTAAGCAATGTTTGCATGGAACACACCATACAGCTACTCAGATAAGCGCCGGAGTTCTTTTCTCTCTCCTCGCATTTTCCCTCGCGTATGCACATTATTCTCTCCGCGTGTGTCTACACTGACTCCTTTGATATAACTGTATGGAGATTATATTGTACAGTATATGTATCATGTTTGTATTGATAATTATTGATATTAAATACTTGGGATCCATAGTCGAGCTCCCATGCATGTGCTCACAATATATCGGGTGTAAAGTGTTTATATATATACTGAAAAATAACCAATATAATTTGTCGATAAGGCAATTCACTCAAGCTTGTTGTTAAAATGCATACTACATCGGTATTAGAATTTCCGCAAAAAAGGCTATCGTACAAATAAAATAGTTTTACATACCTTCACTTTCGATAGACTGCTGCATTAAACTGTCTAAATTGACATAGGGTTTTTCTTTATGCTCAAGGTCCCACAACTTATCTGATAATTCAGTAAATGTTGGTCTGTCTTTTGGAAGATGACTCCAACACTTTAGCATTATCTTATATCTAAAATAATTATATAAATCTAATAATTACTTTGGCATTTCCCTTTGTAAGATTTCGATTGTCCAAAATCTAAATAAAATAAACTACTGAATTAAAGTATGGGTTACTATCGCCAGGAAAATGCTGCCTCAAACTCAGAGCTTCTAAGAACATGAAGATTGAGAAAAAGACACATTGAGCTCTTTGGTGTTCTTCTAGTAATAATAGAAACCTTACAACGGCTATTAATACAAAGAGATTCATAATATATTATTTAAGAAAAGAAATGAATAATTAATATCCCAAGGGAGTTTGAGACGTCATCCAAATCAATAATATTATATACAACAATAATCTTAAAACTGTCTTTTCGAACATTTATTCGAATAATTAATATCTCAAGGGAGTTTGAGACTTCATCCAAATCAATAATATTATACAATAATAACGGCTTATTGACCGAGCGTGAGGTCTTTACTGTGAAATATCAGACCGAGGTTTTTTAGTATGGACCGAGCGACGAAGCAGCGAGGTCCATGCAAAAAACAGAGGTCTGATATTTCACAGTACAGACCGAACAAGCGAGGTCAATAATCGGTTTATTATATAGCTGAACTGAGTCTGTGAGTATATGCTTTTCACGCGAATTAAATATATCGGCTATCGTCAGTGTCACTGGGTAACAATCTACAGTAACAATATACGGTAGGCATGCATGCTCAATCAAAAACAATTTGGTTGTTTCAAATTTTTATCTGTAAATTTTAATGACACACAATTGGAAAATTAAAAAGCAAAATTTTTTCTGTTTGCAAAGCAAAAATTTCCCGCCAGATAAATGACATCCGGGACACCGGTCCAGATACGGAAAATACGGACCATGGTCCAGATATGGTGTTTTACGGACCGCTTGTCAACCAATCAGAATAGAGAATTTTGAAAAGCCATAATTATAATAATAGCCATTTAAACTTTTCAAAAAATTATTTGAATAACTTTGTTATGGTCGTCGTCGTCACGTCGCCGTCCTACATCGTAAGGTCTCTAATGCTACAAAGGAGTACTGAGATTTTCCCTGGACTGATTAGCTCTCAACTATTCGTACATGCACGATTTTGATAAAACTTTCATTTAATTTAAGATATTAATTATAGTTTTAGAATATTTACTCTAGAGAAACTGAATGGAAACATAACATTCCCTGTACAATATCAGTTTATTTTCCTTCATTACGTTTGCTAATTTCTATTTACTTCTTGATACTGCTTCTATTGTATGTTACACTACACTTTAAAATTGCACATAAAAAACTCTCAGAATGCTTATTTTCTAATTAGAAAATATGAAAATTGCCAGCTGTCAAACAAAGGTCTTTTGTCAAAGTGTTTAACACATTGCTGGCACGCTGTCATCCATATATATATATATATATATATATATATATATATATATATATATATATATATATATATATATATATATATATATATATATATATATATATATATATATTCCTGTACTGATAGCATTGAACTAGTTGCTTTTCCCAAAGTAAAATTAGTTAGGGTACATGAATCATTTAATGAAAATCTTACAGATCGTCCGTGCAGCTGTCCACTTTCTCCAATCTCTTTCCGGCAAGCAAGAAATTCTTGAGATCCTTGTCCGAGACTGATGAATAAGGAGTGTCCCCTAAAATATACAAATCTGGGTAAGCACAGATTGTAGAGGTTCCAGAATTTAAACAAATGGAAGTAGCTACAGGAGGAAAAAAAATTATACATAAATTTATGCCGTAAAACGTTTTATTTCAGTTCTTAGTCAAATTAGAAAAAATCATTCGTTCTTAGTAAAATATCATTTTCCTAGCTGTCTGCTTCTATTCGCCTGACACTTTATTGCCGTCGGGAAGCCGATAGGCAATGTTCTTACCTAATGTGCATATCTCCCACAATACAACTCCAAATGCCCAACTAAAAAATGAAAAAGACACACATATGAATAGGTGCACAGGACCATATAAAAACGCATGCATATAAAAACGTACGTACGTGTATAAAAAAAAAAGGTGTAAATTTAGCAAACAAAGTGGTGTTAAAACAAATAGTGCATGCAAATTGGGGTTTTATACGTTATTATACAATTTTTAAATGATGACATGACTGTTTGATATGTTATCACTATAATTAAGGATTCCAATATTAGTTAGACCATCTGACTATTGAGAGCTCTTCATTGGGCTTTGTTCCCTATTATGTATTCAGTAGCGGCGTCTACAAACGTGAGTTCCCGAAAAATGTTAACTCAACAAAAGGGGAATAAAGGAGAGTACAAACTACCAGTTAGGCGCTTAAAAATGTATATTATACATCACATATTTTTCTATTATATATATATACCATTATTAATATTGAAACAATATCAAGATTTCTAGTTAAAAATATTATTGCCCTGCAAATAACTCGTAAAAGAGGCATATACAAAAAAACATTTAGAATATAAAAAATATTTATTGAGTAACGTTTCGTCACATTACAAGCGACATCATCAGACTAAATACAGTTAAGCTATTTCATCTATTTTATAACAAATTTTGAAAAAATATATAATATACAATTACAAACGGTTAAAAAGTTAAAATTAGAAATATACAATGTTCATGGTATATTGACATGCACAAGATACTGAGATTAGTGAAAGATATAGATTAAAAAGGGATGTCAAGTGGTTAGCGTCAGAGATATACTATATACCGAGCCAAGGATTCGAGTTCGGAATCGAGCTCGGATTCGAGCTCGGAATCGAGCTCGGATTCGAGCTCGGATTCGGGCTTTAATTACGTTTTATTACAGTCTAAGACCTGTATATGAGTTGGTATGCATTTCATTTAGCACAGGATTACCTGTGTTACCAGGATTACCTCAACTGTTTTATGGTAAATTGACCATGGCGGTCAACATGGCATATGTGCGAAAACCTGAATCCGGGGCGAAAGTCCTGAAAATGATCCCGCTCTGAAACGGCAGTGTCGACATAGCTCTAACTTCCGAAAAGGAAAAGCGATAGCCTTTCTGAAGTGCCTATATAGTGCTTAGAAGGGTTGCTTTTAGGGGTAGTCATTGGAAGGAAAAATTTGTCTAAGTATAATATTTTACAAGAAAATGACCATGCACCACCCCAGGTAAATTGCTAATTATGCAAATTTAAGAAAAATGTGATATGGCAAATGAGCAAAAACAAAAATTTACATATTTAGAAGAGTGTTAACGGAAAGGATCGGACATTATTATTAAGCCATGGTTTAGTTTGAGCAATTAGTAAGCTTTCTTCAATAAGAATATCATGGTTAGAATTAGCTGAAGTAACAATTTAAAATCACTTGGTTCAATTGGATGACCGGCTTCTCTAGAATGATCCGAAATACTAGATTTTGAAACATACGAAAGAGGATTGTCAGTCAAAGCCGAAATTCAACAATGCTCGGAGATTCGTGTGTGTAAATGTTGGAATGTTTTGCCCAAATACAATGCGTTACAGCATTGACACTAAAATTGATACACGACACTGATGAGATCTCAGATTAAGAGGAACACGATCTTTGAAATGGGAAAAAATAGACAAACGGCATATTGGTTTAATTTAAAAATCACACGTAGTTGTACTTGAGGAAAAGCCGAAGAAAACAAATTGTGTAATTGTCGACGGATCTGAATAGCATGATTCCCCGTATAAGGTGAAACAATCGGAATAAGTAATTTTGAAACCGTAGGCGTTTGAACTTTGAGAGGTGGAGAAATCATTTTATCTAAAAACGTTTTGACGCATCTATCTATGAACAAGTTTGGGTAACCATTTTGAAGTAGTAACTTTTTTAATTTTTCAAGTTCAGCGTGAAAAATTTGATAGGATGAGCAGATGTTGAAATAACGAAACAAGAGAGAGAAAATGAAATCTTTTTTGTAAGCAGTCGGTAAAAAACTTTCAAAATTTGTAAAAAGACCAGTAAAGGTTGGTTTTCGATAAACAGATGTTTCAAAATTCCCATTAACACGTTTAATACTGATATCCAGAAAACGCAGAGTTTTATCATCATTTTCAATTTCAAAAGTAAATTTAATGTTCGGATGTTTCGAGTTAAGGTAATCAAGGAAAGGAACAATATGATTACATACGTGAGTTAAACAATACAAACGAGTCATCAACATAGGCGTCAAAAGATCGATAATTGGGGGGGATCATATTCATATATTCGTGTTCTGCATTATTAATTTCTTTTGAAATCGATTGTTTTTAAGGTCTGTCAACACGAATATAGGAATATAGTCCCCACCACTTATCGATCTTTTGACGCCTATGGTCATCAACATAGCGGCGGAAAAATAGGTTTTAAAGCTATCAGAACAATTATCAAGCCATCCTTTCTCATGAAAGGACAAGAAAATGTTTGCGAAAAGAGGACCAAGAGGACCACCCAGAGCTACGCCATCAATTTGGTCATAGTATTTTCCAACAAAAATGAAATGACAATTTTTAACCGCTAATTTGAGTAATTGAACAAATTCCGTTTTACTAAAGCCGTGATAAAAAGTTTGAGTTGAGTATAATTGATCGGAAGTTATACCAATCGTCTCATCTAAAGGAATATTAGTGAATTAAGGAGGTTACATCAAAGCTAGCCATAATTTCGTTGTTAGTATTAACATTTAAAGACATCAATTCCTGAATGAAAGAAAAAGAGTCATTAATAGTGTACGGATTAGTAGCTAAAGGGCGCAAAAGAGAAACCAAAAACTTAGCTAAACTATACTCTGTAGGAATGAGATTTGATGGCAGATAGTATAGGTCTTAAGGGAATACCATGTTTGTATATTTTGGGCAATCCATATATATAGTATGCCAGGTCTTGAATCGTAGGAACAAGTTTCTTATATATTTCCTCTGAAATAACACCATTGTTCTTTAACGTTTTAAGAAAAGTTCGTACCTTATCTTCTCGCTTAATAGTTGTTTTACCAGGATCATCAATCATAGGTACAAATTTTTTTTCATCACTTAATATATCATGCATCTTACAAATGTAATCAGTTCTATCTAGTACTACGATCCCATTTCCTTTATCAGGCTTGATAATTACAATAGTATCATCTTTCTGGAGATCCTTCAAACTTTTGAACTCTTGCTTCGAAAAACACGATTGAGGTGGTAAATAGCTGCGATACCCAGACAACGCGATGTCTTTCAGCTTGGTTTTAACAGTTTCCTTAGTATGCCTTGAGCCAGATGAAATTGTCTCATTGTCAACACGTTTGTGCAGCAACTCGAAAAGAAGTAGAAAATCACTATATTTGAGACGTCTCGGAGGTATTGAAAAATTCAAGCCTTGCGCCAAAACAGATTTTTCAAATCAGTCAAAGTTTTGCTTGAATGGTTAAAAATCACCTTATTGGGATCAACGATTGTAGATTTTGTAGATTCAACACCTAGACGAAATAACTTTCTGTCCTGAAGTTTCTCATGTTGTGAAAGGTTTCGTGAATTTTCCCGATCAGAAAGACCTTTAAGATGAATTATGTCAGGAGACGATACTAGCTCAGATAAATTCAAGCACAAGGTCGACGATAAAACAGAAAGTTCCTTAATTTTTGTTCGCTTCGTTAAAATTTCCTCAGTTAGCAGTTTCCTTTGACATTGACGATAAGCAATCGAGTTGCGAGTTATTTGCTGGGCAATAATATTTTTAACTAGAATTCGATTTCCGCCTGCATGGTGTTTCTATTGCTGATATCAAGATTTTGTTGGCATCTCACTCGATTCCATAATAGTTGAAGATCTTGTAGATGGAAATTATTGAATAGAAATTTATATTATTAGGGCGCTGCATGCGCACTGGAATCGCAGGGCCACATTTTGGATTCCTGCTTGGTTCTCGTCCATAGGAAACGGGAAATACATGTACCTCCTTCGGAAAAAGAGTATGTATTTCCCGTTTGTAATACAAAATAACTGAAAATTGCAAACTTCGCAAGGCTGTATTATCCGCATTTTACACCTTGCATTTCGCAACGAAATTTTGGAATATTACTAATTTTGTGATGCTCTTTCAAGCTGTGACAAAATTTTTGTCTAAACTTGTTGAGATCTATATTTTAGTCAAAAGGTGAAAGGTCCATTGAATAGATTCAATTTCAATTCTTAAGTCTTTCAAATTGTGCTTGAAGTTTGTATTTTGAGCATGGGCGTACCGGAAGGAAAAATTTAGGGGGGGGCGGAAAAAAATTTGCCCGACTTTTCCGGATTTTGCCCGACACGTACCCAAAATTTTTTTCCGGAATTTGTTTTGGCGACCTCCCACCCGTCGCCAAAAAATTTTAGGTCAGTGTACCATTTAAGGGGTCAAAAATTTTTCCCGGACATACCAAAATTTTCCGAAACCTAACAAAAATTTTGGAAACATCACAAAATTGACAGAATTTGTCCAATTTATTTTTTTAATAGACCAAAATTGCCCGACTGTTCGGCGAATATTGCCCGACTGCCCAACAAACTGGGGGGCTACCCCGCCCCCCCCCCCCCCCCCCCCCCCCCCCCC